TATGTTTTCAAGATAATTATCTCTTCCCACTACCTGATCCTGTTCGCACAACCATCCATGATCGCACCAATTGGTGCTACCTCACATCTGATTTTATGAATTATGATGGTCACGAGGTTGTACCAGCTGAGGATACTGACACGGTACCCCCGATCCCTATTCAGGCTGAGCCTACAAGGGGAACTAACTCTTTCCATCACCCTGATTGGTCAGCAGAATTATCAGCTATCCATATTTCTCGTCTCTCTTACTAACCGTGTAGGTGCCATCGAGCAAGAGCAACAACGTCAAGGACAACTATTGGACTCGATACACTACATGATGCAGTCTTTTCACGAGCGGCAGCTCCGACAGGATGCCTCTGCGCCGTCTCCTTCTGACTAGTGAGTTGGTATGTTTCCTGCACCCTTGCACTAATTTCTATTTTTTTTACATTGAGGACAATGTCAATCTTAAGCTTGGGGGTGTGGGTTGTTCATGCATTGATTGCTTGTCTATAATTGCCTATTTTTCTTTTATTTTAGTTTTTCTTTTGCTTTGCTTCTTTTATACAAAAAAAACGAAAATAAAAACAATTAGGGAAATGATCTCCTGATGATGACATGAATGCTTAACCTTTATCGATCATTGAACTAGATAGATGCTCATTAATTGGGAATTAACAACTTTTTATACCATCTTTCAACTGATTCTCAAAGGCTTTTGATTACAAGTTAACAATATGGGAGAACCAGACTTGAATGTTCTCTTTTCTTATAGGATTTAGCATTTATGTGGCTAGCGTCATAACCATTACTCTATTGAGACAAGAGGGGAATTAAATTTGGTAGACAAATAAAACCCGTGAGATTTTGAGCCTGAAATTGGATGCATTACATATCCAATCATTATTTTCTTTGCTTGTGTGATATTCTCCAATGGTGTAGGATACTAGAACTTGCATTGAATCTCTTCAAGGCCACATATAACTTTTGTATGCATAAAAGGTGATTGAGGCACATTTTTGTTTATAGTCCACATTAGCCAAATAGCCTACCATGCACTATTGTTTCCTTTGATTAGCCCCCTTGAGCCTATGAGCCTAATTTTGTTGATTAAACCCACATATGTAACCTTCAAAATCCGATTGTATCCCTTACCCATTGTCTAAGCTAGTGGAGCACATTTTATGATACAATGGGTTATATGAGTAATGTGGTGTAAGCTTGGGGGTGTGAAAGTAGGCGTTTGCTTCCTTTTCATAATTCTTTCGAAAAAAAAGAGAAAAAAAAACTAATTAAAAAAAAAAGATGAATAAAGTGTCATCTTTATGGTGTATGTAATTGCGGGTGTCGAAAGAATTCATTATGGCATACTAAAAGGAGTAGTTGGAAGAAGTTCTTTAATAGATGATGGAGTTTGTGTAGATGTCATTGATCTTACTTTGAGATCAAATATTTTTCAAGTATCGCTCCACTAGTGATAGGCTTTCAACTACAATCCCAAATATATATCCTACCTTTTGACCCTAGCCCCGTTACAACCAAATAAAAGACCTCATGATTTTGTTGCATGCATTAGTTTTCGAAGTGGTGGAGAATTGAGATGAAATGCAAGCTTATGGATTGAATACATCCATTCGGAAGAATTTTGAGCGATACAATCCTATCCTTAAACACATGAGAGATTGAGAGTCCATTTATCCTAAAATGAGGTCTACCAATTTAACTACCTGAAGGTCTCAATTTTAGTACTTCGGGATTGAAGCTAGTTACATGAATTTCTTTTTCCTACTTTGACGAGAATTGGATAGGATGGCTATCCTTGACTTGTGACGTTTGTGATCGTAAATAAATTTTGAAATGCGATTTTGTTGAGAGTTTTGAAAATTAATTTGTTAAGTCCCGATAAAAAGTATTTGTTTTGTGATATGTTTGATATTGGTTAAAGGATTGATGAGGGGGTGATCCCTACTCTATTTAGCTTTCACTCCTCCTATTTTTTTTATTGTCTATTTGCTTGAGGACAAGCAAAAGTCTAAGCTTGGGGGAGTTGATAAACACGTAAAATATGCATTATCTTAGTGTGTTTTAAGCATGATTTACGAGTGTTTAATGCATATTTCGTGTTTAGATCGAGGATACTGCTGTGGTTTGTGTTCTTATATATAGGTATTGGCTCAAGATTGAAAGATTTGATGATCGTTGGAAGTTTTACAAGAGTTTGAAGCAACAACAAGATTTTGAAGGCATGGTTCGTGAAGAAAATGGATGCACGAGTATGAAGAACTGGAATTTCGACCATGATGCGGTTTGAATCAAAAAAAACTCAAAAGATGAAAGTTGTAGATCTCTTCAACGGGATTCCAATGCAACTTGAATCACCTCATTCCGGGTCGGACGCAAAAGTTATAGCCAAAATACCGAAAACTGAAGAAACAAGCACAAAATCAGCAAAACAGCCCCTACCACACCCTGGTGTGGTGCAGACCACACAGGTGGCGCGGGAATTAGTTATTTTCCAGATTTTTAGGGACATATAAATAGATGTTTTGACTTAGGGTTTTGGAGATCTTTTGTTATATTCTCTTAGCCATCAAATAGCAATTATTTTGGAGTTCAAGTATTGAAGAAAGACACTAATTTCTTGTACAAGATTGGATTGCAAGTTTTGATTTTGAAGATCTTAATTGAAAGACGGGTTAATTCTTTCCTCTCTTTGATTTATTTCTTCTTATGATTGATTTGCATAATTATTGGATGTATTCTCTTATCCCAATCATGTGTGAGTAGATTTCTTGTCTAGGATTGGGAAAGAACCCAACTTTTTGGTGATTGATGATGAATTGATATAGGTTCTTGGTGAAAGTTTAAATCTTTGAACTTGATTTCTAGTGTTTTAATTTTGTTGATTCGCTTGATCACCGTATTAGCAATTATAGGTAATTAATTGAAGGACTGAAAGGTGAAGATTAATACCGGATCTCTACAGATTAAGCAGGGAGCTCGAACCACGAAAGTAGGCTAGATTCCTTGGGGATTTGATTTGGATTAGCATAAAGCTTAATGGGTTTAACTTAATCTTAATTCCACGAAAGTAGGTTAATTGGGATTAATTAGACACGATCTTTAGACCTTGAAAGAGGCTTTAGATTAATTTAGGCTAATTCACCCTTTTTAGTTTAAACCAACACCGAGAACTAAAATAATTCATCATTGAGCATCGAAGTTGTGGTGAAAACCCAATCCTAGCTCTTCATTATATTGAATTCCACCTGATTAGTTATTATTTTATTTCTTTTAATTTTCATCTCTTCTAATTCACTCATTAGATTTAGCTAGTCGAATAACGTGAGATTTGGTAATTAACCCTAGTCCCTGTGGGATCGACCTTGATAGCTATAACGAGTCTGTGCGCTTGCAGATTTTGCCCATCAGGGTACCAGCAGATCAACGCCGACCATACCATATTCTTTTGACGAAGTGGAGGCCACATTACCATGCTGACGGCATATGTGGATGATATGATTATTACAGGAGATGAAGAGAAGGAGATTGCCCAACTCAAAGAGAGACTGGGTAAGGAATTCGAGGTAAAAGATCTTGGTTTGCTTCGATATTTTTTTGGGATAGAGATAGCTCGAGGAGCTGAGGGGATTGTTCTCTCCAAAAGAAAGTATGCACTGAATCTTTTCAAAGAGACATGGATGTTAGGGTGTAAACTTGTAACTACACCGATCGATCAGAAGTTCAAGCTGGGTTCTAAGGCTGGAGAGCCAGTTGATCACGATAGATACCAGAGACTGCTGGGCAGGTTGATCTATTTGAGTCACACACGTCCCGATATCTCTTTTGCAGTGAGCGTGGTAAGTCGCTACATGCATGATCCGAGGAAGGGTCATATGGACGCAGTGTACCAGATTCTTACATGCATGATCCGAGGAAGGGTCATATGGACGCAGTGTACCAGATTCTTAGGTATTTGAAGAGTGCCCTCGGAAAATGGCTGATATTCAGGAAGAATGAACATATGAGCATTGAGGGTTATTGTGACTCAGATTGGGCTAGTTGTGCTGATAACAGGAGGTCCACCTCAGAATATTGTATCTTTATAGGAGGCAACTTGGTCTCGTGGAAGAGCAAGAAGCAGTCAGTGGTGACAAGATCAACAGCTGAAGCAGAGTATAGAGCTATGACCTTGGGAGTCGCGGAATTATTGTGGTTGAAGAGTATGCTGGTGGAGCTGAAACTGGATAAAGAAGCAAAGATGAAGCTGTGGTGTGATAACAAGTCAGCCATCAGTATCGCTAATAACCCAGTGCAGCATGATAGAACCAAACACATCGAGATCGATAGATTCTTCATCAAAGAGAAGTTGGACAGTGGATTACTGGAGTTAAGTCATGTTTCAACTAAAGACCAGGCAACAGATTGTCTGACTAAGGGACTTAGTTCAATAGATATGATTAGAGGATGTGACAAGATGGGCTTAGTGGATATCTTTCGCTCATCTTGAGGAGAAGTGTTGACATATTAGTATAGTTAAGAGGGTTATTTGTAAGATGTGTTTGTATGGGACCTATATAAGCCCATGTTATCTCATTAATAAGATTAGTGTTTCAATTCTATAGAATCCAAATTAAATTTTCAGGTTTTTAACTCTCAAGTAAGTTAATAAGTTGGGTATGGATCCTAGAAGTAGATTCAGATCCTCATTGGATCCAAACAGGGATCATTTTCAATCGACATGATAAATATCCTTGCGTTGAGTGCATCTAGTTGATCTAACATATTTCTTCTTTAATTATATAATAATGTTTGATCATGTTTAAATATTTCTAAAATATAAAAATAAAACAGTACATCTACACAAGAGTATCAAGCATTGCCTTCAATTATACAGTGAAATATCATTTTTACCTATGGTGCAACTAGTCCTGCCTTCGAAACTTGATAGACCTTTGAACTATACAATGAACACTATAAAATGGATAGTAAAAATACAACACTATCAAGCATTACCTTCAAAACCGCAGTTCCAGCTAAAATTATCATTGCATCCATCATTACCGCCTTCCCCATTAGCATCATTGTGCTAGATAACCAGATTTTGTAAAAAGGATGTCAAGCATAATACTATAACAAGTGTGCATATGACTGAGATTCTAGGATAGGATTCGACATTGCATTTTTTAAAGTGAATAGGGTTTGGAATATATAAAAAAATACCTTGAAGTTGTAGGAAACAAGGTCACACAGTGTAAATCCATCATGTGCTATGACAAAATTAACACTATGGTATGGCTTCCGCTTGTTTACCTGTTATACAAAACTATCCATCAGGAACTTTATATGAACACCATGCAAGTTGAGAAGAATGATGTTGATTTAAATGATAGAAAATTTGTCATGCAAAAGCTAGCTGGGGACAGAAAGGCAAGCATATTCACATGAAAACATAATAAGAAGTTTAAAGATGTAGAAGCAATGGTAGGTATGCAACATTAAAACAATGGGATTTGTTGATCCTATGTGATCCCTGGGGGAGATGATAAATTCCAATTGAAAGCATGCAGATAAAAGGTTTAGTAAACAGTTCTATTGCAGAGAACTCTTTGTTCTTAGGGTGCAAAATAGGATGAGCCTCTAATATCAAAATCAGACACCCATGGGGCTCTCTGCCAGATGTTCCACATTGATACTGAGGGTAATTGTTTGTGCTTAAAACTACAGCCAAAGCTAGGGACATCAGCAAAAAAGCAGTTTGTGACAGCATAGCATGAGCCATGAAGTTCACACAAGTATAGGATCAAGATTTAGTTAATAACAGCCAAACCTGGTATAAGTCCGCTGATCCTGATACACGAGTTGCAAAGCTTCCCTTCATACCAAGGTCTCCCTGAAAAAATAATTGAATGTTGACATATGATATCAATAAAGATGTTGATTAAACACTAAACAGACAGTCAGCAACTCCATCAAAAAGGGACATATAGAAAAAGGTCAGAACCCCAGACTGGTAAAATTAAGTTAGTGGACTTGAGGGGAATTTGTTCGTCTTTAACCAATAAAAAAGCTCACATACTTTCTAAAAACCAAAATGCACATAATGGAGATGGCAACTACTTATTACCATCAAATATTTATGACTAAGCATAGCAATTGTTGAGTGTCAAAATATTACCTTTATGAATCTTCTAATGTCATCACGATATTTCCCATTCCATTCTGCCCACCTGCAACAGATGTTATATGTATACATATGGTTATCACATTTTCTTGACTACTAAAAACAAACCAAATAATAAGATTCTTCTCGGTTAGAAGCTAGACTATGCTAAAGCAGACTCATAGGAATCTAGAAGGCTTGAAATCAGAGAGAACCAACAATATCTTCTGTTTTGTCTCTTTCGACAAACAGACGAATCATCTTGAACCTGCAAACTGTGTGCTACCTAGTATTTACAAGATAGTTCTAGAACTACAGGTATTGCTGCTCCAACAATTACCATGTTTTATGACACAACTGAAACTGAACATGTTGTTAAACATGACAGTATTTCACTCATTAATAGAACAAGAAATTCTTATGTGTCCCAATCGACCAAAAAACATTAGTCATTCTTATCTCATTCCATTTCCCTTGAGGCTTGCCTTTTACTGTCTGTATCCTCATGCAGGTGCGTATAAAGTACAAACATACAAACTTCTCAGACAAACTCTCCATTCAGTCAAATCTTAAATTTTGTTCTTTATGATAATTGAAACTTGTACCAAACAAACAGAAAGCAATTACGTGACTAGTACACAAAGCATGATAGACAGTGTACTTAAAGCAAGTTTCATTTATTTCAAGAGAAAAGACATCTGAACTAGTGCATTTGATAGAGATTTGAGATGTCTGCAGTCAATATTTAACGCACTGCTGTATTGGGGGGGAAAAAGCAGTGATATTATTTGCCACAGCATGCTCTATTCAAGTGAAAATTACCTATCCCAATTTGGGAATTTTCCAACCAGGTAAAGACCTCCACAATCCCAAGGCTCTGCAATTATTTTACACCTTGACAAAATAGAATCTTTGGCAATTTCCTGTTTGACAAATCACAAAAGTCGCAGGAAAGGTTTTCTTAGTTTCTCACGAGCAAGTTATTGCAAGTAATAATACAAACTATAAGGATCCATTTTTCTTCTAAAACAGAATGCTCATGATAATGCAAAGTATTATCATCATTTAAGAAGTGAAATCGGATAATAGGATATCTGGACACCTTGACATGGCAGAAGAGAAACAAATTGTAGTAATCACAGAAACAGATAAAAGCTACGCAAGCAAAGTATTATATCAATTAACACAATTGTGTTTGCTCAATAGTAAAACTTAATGTTGGGACGCGTGACGCCCACACCGCCGTGGAAGCAAATTAATCCCAGGAGAAAACAACCCTAATTTAAGTTTATGCCAAACTCAAACTAACCAGTACAAGCAATAATGATTACACAGATAAAACAGTAAGTAAATGAGACGAGACAACATATTTACGTGGTTCGGCAAACTTGCCTACGTCCACGGGAGCCACACAATTGATTTCTTATTTAACCACAAGAAATTACAAACTTGCAAAGAGAAGATCTCAAACTTGAGATTTCTCAGTTGAATACCGCGTGTGATTTTTAATCTAAAAATCACAACTCAATCTCTTTACAAATCACCGCTTACTGTAGTTAATTTTTCTTAACCGGAAAATTAACTTCTCAAAACCCTTGAGAAGTTCAGCCGCCACAGTCTAAAATCGCTGAGTTTGCCCCACTGATCTCGTGAACAGGGTTTCCCTTTTATAGGGAAACCCTAGGTCTCCAGCTGGATCCCAGCTGGTCCCAACCGACAGGCAAGAAACACACAGGCGAAATCGAGGGCTTCAGGCGACCTTATGGGCAACAGGCAAAATCAAAGCTCCCCCCTTCGAACAGGCGAGTTCCTGGCGATCCGCATCTGCAAGCGAGCTTCGAAGTCCACATCTCGCCCGCAAGAGCTACGAAGGCGAGATCGAAGTCGCCGGTCCTTGTCGCCCTTCACTATCGCCGCTCGCGATTCCACGTCGTCGCTCGAAGTCTCCGGTCAATACCTCCGTCTCCGACGAGATCGCCGCCGTCGCCGTCGAGGTTAGTACTCTTCGTCGAGGTCAGTTCTCTTCAATTCTCCACCTCGTCCATCATTTGATAAACCTCAAATTTTGGACGAACACCAGAAGAATACCACGAACACCAAACAAGGTCAAAATCAGGCTTAACCAGCTGCACCATTATACCATGGTTGCCTACGTACCCTCTGACCAGGATCAAGCTAATCGTAGTTCTGCCTTTGCCCTCTTGGGCATATCAACACGGACTGATATGAAGCAAGTCCAAACAATGCTGAAACTTTTGCTACTTGTCACCACCTTGGTTAACATGTCTGCTGGATTCTCGTTTGTGTGCACATTCATGAGAGAAATATCACATTCCTCTATGACATCCCGCACAAAATGATATCTGACGTCGATATGCTTGGTACGAGCATGATAAACTTGATTCTTAGCCAAATGAATCGTACTCTGACTATCACACCACAAGTTCACGCTATCCTGCTCAATCCCCAAATTGTCTAACAGACCCCACAACCATAATGCTTCCTTCACTCCCTCTGTCATGCCCATGTACTTAGCATCTGTAGTAGAAAGTATCACTGTAGCCTATAGCATCGATCGCCAACTAACTAGAGCCCCATGTATGCTAAATACATAACCAGTTGTAGATCGTCGTCTGTTAAGATCGCCCGCATAATCTGAGTCCACAAATCCATCAATCTGACATGTCTCTCCACCAAAACACAGACCCGTATTAGCGGTACCCTTCAAGTACCTCATGACCCATTTCACCGCTTTCCCGTGCGTCTTTTCCGGATTCGCCATGAACCTGCTGATCACACTAATTGCCTATGAAATATCTGGACGTGTACACACCATGGTATACATCAAACTGCCAACTGCACTAGCATAAGGAACACGCTCCATGTGTGCCTTATCTTCCGCTATAGTGGGAGATTGTTTACCTGAGAGTCTGAAGTGTGAAGCCAATGAAGTCACCACCGACTTAGCACTTTGCATTCCGACCTGACTCAAGAACAATCGCCGATTCGCCCGCTCTTTTCTAATCTCCATACTTAGTATTTTCTTAGCAGCGCTCATGTCCTTCATCTCGAACTCTTTACCAAGTTGAGATTTTAGCCTATCTATCTTCACCTTGCTCTTAGAAGCAATAAGCATGTCATCCACATACAAAAGAAGATAGATATAATCACCTCCACGAAGCTTTCGAATATAGACGCAACAGTCATACTCGCTTCTGGAGAACTCATACTTTAGCATGAATGAGTCAAATCGCTTGTACCACTGCCAAGGAGATTGCTTCAGTCCATAGAGTGACTTCCTCAAGCGACATACATGATGCTCCTTACCCTCAACCTTGTAGCCCTTTGGTTGAAGCATGTAGATATCTTCATCCAAATCTCCGTGCAAGAAGGCCGTTTTGATATCGAGTTGTTCCAGCTCAAGATCACCATGAACAACAATATTTAATAGTACCCGAATAAAAATGTGTTTCACCACCGGAAAAAATATCTCTTTGTAATCCACACCCTCTTTTTGTGCAAACCCCTTAGCCACTAGCCTCGTCTTGTACCTCGTACCACCGAGCTCTGAAGGATCTTTCTTTTTTTATACAGCCACTTACAACCTATAGCTTTTTTTCCTACGGGCAATGAGATCACCTCCCATGTTTGGTTCTTCCGGAGAGATTCCATCTCCTCCTCAATCGCAACCAACCAACTCTCGCTATTTCTATCCTGAATAGCTTCCTTGAAGGAGACCGGCTCATCTTCCTCCACCGAGAGTGCATACTCGACCAAATTAACCTACCCATAGTGCTTCAGGGGCTGATCAGCCCTCAGCTTCTGTACCTGCTTGTATGCTCGTCTTGGCCTAGTGGAAGCCGAGCTATCCTCGAGCTATTGTTGTTGTGGTGCCTGTACATTTTCTTGTTGAACCTCTATAGGTAATAAAAATTACCTTTATCCCTACACAATAACTTGGAACAAGCAAAAGAGCTTAAAGGTCCATCTCTGGAAAAGCAGGTCGACTCCTCGAGAGTCCACCTGACTCAGGCCGACTCCCCGAAGAGTCCAGCCCCCTAGACAACTCGAATAGCCGAGACCCCCTCGTCGACTCGAAGTGGCTGAGACCCCCTCGTCGACTCAAAGTGGCCGAGACCCCCTCATCGACTTGAAGGGCGGTGTTAGCGAATGGTTTCATCGTGCGGTCAAGATGCAAGTTTTGCTTTCTATAATTGGTTAGTGATTCTAAACATGATGATTTATATTTTGGTATGTTTATATTTCATTAAGCATGGTTAGATTACATTTTTTAGTTATATTATATATATACACCATCTAGTATATCACTCCGATAAATACTACTTATCCCCGATATATCCCCGATTTCCGCTATCCGATAAGAATTTTGATCGTCCGATAAATTCCCGATAACCGATATTTAAAACCTTGGTCTTTAGGTTCTATCTCAATAACCTGGGACTTAGAATTCCTAACACCATCATCCTTAGGCACCCTAGCAATCATGGACTTCTCATCAAAGGTAACGTCTCTACTGATCACGAACTTTAAATCTTCTGTACACCAAAGACGATAACCTTTTACACTCTTTGCATACCCCAAGAAAATTACCTTCTTGACCCTCACATCAAGCTTTCCCTCGTTGACGTGATAGTAGGCGGTACACCCGAAGATTCAGAGACTCATAATCTGCATGCTCCCCTGACCACACCCGATAGGGTGTATCACCATCTAATGTCGAATATGGAGAACAATTCACTATGTAACAAGCTGTAGCAACCGCTTCTACCCACCATTCCTTACCCAAACCAGCATATGATCGCATACTTACTGTTTTCTCCCATAGTGTTCGGTTCAGTCTTTCTGCGACCCCATTTTGTTATGGTGTAGATCTAACTGTCCAGTGTCTGACAATCCCCTCCTGATCACAGAACTCCTTAAAGGCACCATCTGTATACTATGTACCGTTGTCAGATCTTAATGTCTTCAATTTCTTTCATGTCATGTTCTTAACCATCGCCTTCCACTTCTTGAATGTCTGAAATACCTCATTCTTATGCTTCAGAAAATAAATCCAAGCATATCTCGAATGATCATCTATGAATGAGACAAACCGGATCCCAAACATCTGTGTGCACATAATCTAGTATCCCTCTGCTCTTGTGATTGCTTAACAGAAATCGGACCTTGTGTGCCTTTCCATACACACAATCCTCACAAAAATCCATGCATGACTTCTTCAGATTCTTCAACAAACCATCCTTACTGAGCAGATCTAGACCCTTCTCTGACATGTGTCCAAGCCGCCTATGTCATAGCCGTGTGTGCTCACATGGGTCTCCACCACTTTCATCAATTCCAACAGCTGCATCTTTCGTCACCGTCGTACCTAAGAGAGCATATAGGTTGCCATGACGAATGCCATTCATCGTTACTAAGGAACCCCGAACAACCATCTTCACTCCGTTCTCTGTTACAATCTTACAACCCCCAGTCCAAAGCACCAACTGAGATAAGATTTTTTCGTAAGTCGGAAACGTGTCTTACATCCGTCAAGGTTCGAACCACTCCATCATGCATCTTGATCTTGATATCACTTAGCCTAACCGTTTTACAAGCATGGTCGTTCCCCATCAATACGGTTCCATCATCAGTGCTCCTGTAGGTAGTAAATCACTTCCTATTAGGACACATGTGGTAAAAGCAACCAGAATCAAGTATCCACTTTCCGAAGGTATCCTCGCCATTCGTAACGACATAACATTCCTTATCGCTCCCTTCCCCTGAAGCGTAGCTCGCCTCTTCCTTGCCTTCTCGTCTTTCAGTCTTGTTATTCTTCTTCCCACCTACTCTCTTATTAGGACAATTGACTTTGAAATACCCTAGCTCACCGCATTTGAAACACGACCTTTTCGTAAGAGGTCTTAATTTTGATCTAGACTTTCCTCCCTTACTTTTTCCTCGCTCATTGCCCCTTCATCTGGCAAAAAACCCCTGCGCTTGTTCTTTGTTATCACCAGTAGTCATATCACTAGTTGTAATTTTTCGAAAATCATCCGCTAAGAACGTTGTTCTAGTCTCATCCATCGATAAACTGTCACCCACAATCATCAGTGTTTGAACCAGATTCTCATAAGACTTCAACAGAGATAGAAGTAGTAGAAGTGTCTGATCCTCATCTTCCACTGTCACCTTAATGTCTTTCAAATCCGATAAGATCCTATCGAACTTCTTGATGTACTCCCGGATTGACGAGCCTTCCTTCATCTTGCAATTATACAATTTGGATTTTAAATAGATCCGATTCGTTAGACTCTTCGTCATGAAGGTGCTTTCTAACTTTAACCACACGCCCGTAGCCGTTATCTCTTCATCTACCAAGAAAACTACATCACTTTCAAGACAAAGGATAATCAACGCCCGTGCTTTCAGATCCAGCTCCTCCTAATCCTCATCAGATATATCCTTGTGCTTCTTCTCTTTTCCCACCAAAGCCTTGTGCAATTTCTGCGAAATCAGCGAATTTTTCATCTGCATCCTCCAATAGAAAAAATCATTCTTCCTATTGAATTTCTCGATCTCATACTTTCTAACTTTAACTATTTTACTTGTATACGTTATTCTCCGCTTGTTTAGAAAAAACCAATTCTCTCAGTAATTTCAACAATAATCAAGTACCACCTCAAATCGAAAATTTTACCACCTCTAATCTGAACAAGGGCTCTGATACCAATTGTTGGGACGCGTGACACCCACACCGCCGTGGAAGCAAATTAATCCCAAGAGAAAACAACCCTAGTTTAAGTTTATGTCAAACTCAAACTAACCAGTACAAGCAATAATGATTACACAGATAAAACAGTAAGTAAATGAGACGAGACTCAAACTCAAACTAACCAGTACAAGCAATAATGATTACACAGATAAAACAGTAAGTAAATGAGACGAGACAACATATTTACGTGGTTCGGACAAGCAATAATGATTACACAGATAAAACAGTAAGTAAATGAGACGAGACAACATATTTACGTGGTTCGGTAAACTTACCTACGTCCACGGGAGCCACACAATTGATTTCTTATTTAACCATAAGAAATTACAAACTTGCAAAGAGAAAATCTCAAACTTGAGATTTCTCAGTTGAATACCGCGTGTGATTTTTAATCTAAAAATCACAGCTCAATCTCCGCGTGTGATTTTTAATCTAAAAATCACAGCTCAATCTCTTTACAAATCACCGCTTACTGTAGCTAATTTTTCTTAACCGAAAAATTGCTCAATCTCTTTACAAATCACCGCTTACTGTAGCTAATTTTTCTTAACCGAAAAATTAACTTCTCAAAACCCTTGAGAAGTTCAGCCGCCACAGTCTAAAATCGCTGAGAGTTTGCCCCACTAATCTCGTGAACAGGGTTTCCCTTTTATAGGGAAACCCTAGGTCTCCAGCTGGATCCCAGCTGTTCCCAACCGACAGGCAAGAAACGCACAAGCGAAATCGAGGGCTTCAGGCGACCTTATGGGCAACAGGCGAAATCAAAGCTCCCCCCTTCGAACAGGCGAGCTCACCAATCCTTCAGGCGAGTTCCTGGCGATCCGCATCTGCAGGCGAGCTTCAAAGTCTACATCTCGCCCGCAAGAGCTACGAAGGCGAGATCGAAGTCGCTGGTCCTCGTCGCCCCTCACTATCGCCGCTCGCGGTTCCACACCGTCGCTCGAAGTCTCTGGTCGATGCCTCCGTCTCCGACGAGATCGCCGCCGTCGCCGTCAAGGTTAGTACTCTTCGTCGAGGTCAGTTCTCTTCACTTAACATCAATACTATTTTTATGTGAGATAAAAGACAACTAAATAAATAAGATATTTCTATGTGAGATAAAAAGACAACTAAACAGATTGGATATATACACATTAATTCATGGAGATCTTTTATGTAATTCATTTTTAATGAAAGCTTCAGATAATAAACATACAAGGTGTGAAAATATGAAATAATGAGGTTGCGTCTTGACCAGAGTCCTTTAATTTACATAGGAAGGAAGGAAGGACCCAGAAAAGAAATTGTAATCATAAAGTTCCTTTCATTTTTGGAGCTTCACTACCATAAAAGTTTCCACTGAACACTAAGGTAATCAAACTTGTAGCAACTTTTGCAAATGTAACATGTCAAGGGAATAATATTACTACACGCTAAAATGTAAACACATGACACAGGATGTCATATAAAACATTCCCTTGGGTTTCTCTTCGAACAATTAAACACTTGACACAAAAACTATCTGAATCTGGAATATAAGCATACAAGCTAGGGGTTTGTTTGGTTCGTTGACTACAATTGCAGTGTAAGTTGCACACAACTGTAAGTGTTGTAATCACTATTGCATACAGTTGCAGTTATTTGATTTAGTTTTAAAATTTTGCAATTTGTAGTCACAATTATAGTTGCATGTATTTGTTTGGGGTATTAAGTTTTTGAACTTCTGTTGGGAGTGGGCTATTTAGAGTTGCAACTTAAACACCACTTGCAGCTCAAAAAGATTATAATTTATGACTGCCACCCATGTTTAAATTTAGGCACGTCGCAGCAACTAAAAACATTTTTGCAACTACAGCTACATCTGCATCCACTAGTGACCCAATGTCCGGTTGCACGCAACTGTAATTGCAACCTCTGCACTTGCAATGAACCAAACAACCACCAGGTTCAAATTAATGAATTATGCCCTGATGAGGTTACTGATAGATAGACAATACTGAGTTTGAGGACTAGGTGAGAACATGTTGAAATGCAAATTTAAAGCAATGGCCCAAGATAATTAATACAATGAAGTTGACTTAGTTCAGAACATGATGAGAAATTACAGTATAGATAGAGTATTAAGGCCATAAGCAAGTACAACAAGGTCTTGCAGAAATATCAACAGAAAAAGAAAAGGCACTGCCAAGATTATCCTAACCAGTGAATACTCTTGTCAATTTACCTTCCAACCATAGTACAGACATGGTGGGAACTAATATGGATAGAAAGCAGAATACGGATGGGGAAGTGTGAGACAAAGAGGAAAAAGGAAGCTATCACCTTTCATAATCCTTTATCATAAGGCTTCAGGCTAGAGCATACAACATACAGAGTAATTAAGAAAAGGATTATTATTAATTAGAAATTCAAAGTTACCTTTATAAGTGGGGGCGCATTCAGAGGAGTCCCATCTGTTCCCCGACAAAGAACACTTGCAAGATCAAAGCGGAAACCATCCACATGGTATTCGAGAACCCTTATCAAGCACAAAATAACCATCAGGGTGAGTGTATGCAATATGGAAGTTAGAAGAAGCATAAGTTAATTATATGATGAAATGTAAGAATAAAGATAAAAGTGGCATAAGTGCTTTTGTACGAAGGTGCAATATTGTCTAGTTCAGTTATGGATTAAAAAAAAAGTTCACACTGTAATGCCTTGAAGACTAAAGTTAGTAATGGTCACAAGTGAATGGGATTTCTTAATATTCCTTCCATTTCACCATAACTCCGAAGTTGTGGTGAGGGTTGAAGATTATGGTTATATACTCTGACACATGTTCCACAGGTTAAGCAACCTGCACACGAGAAAACGTGAGCTGTTTTAGGCACTGGTACATTTTTCTCTTAATCCTCTTCAAACGCATACCTGATGGGATTTGAACATAGCTTGCTCTAATATCATCTTAAAAGTCTCTTCCAAGTCCCTTCCAGTGCACCAAAATTCCAAAGTTGTGGTGAGGCTTGGGGATTATAAGATTATAGTTTAACGAGAATGATATATAAAATCTAGCAGTTCCAAATTTCAGTAACATGAGAAGCCTGATCCAAGCTGAGCATAAGATTTAGTTCAGAATGTTATGCAAACTAGTTCACTTTCCAATTTCAGTAGCACAAAGATGCCTGAATCCAAATGCACGCGTTTTCCAATGAGTGATGCAAGAACCGAGGGTTTTGGCACTAGATCAAACCTATTTCATTGACTTTTCTCTAATCAATCTTGTCTTTGTTGAGTTTTCTCCGCTTTTATTGATTCTTCGCCGTCTATATTGCAGGGTTTGACTCTTTTACTCAGGCTGACAAATGTTTCTCTTATCCAAACTCTCGGTTGTTGATCACCGTCAGTCTATGAGAGGGAATGTTAAATATAATACTTTCTTTTGTATAGGACTTCTCTAAGTTATAGTTATCCTTTCTTAGTAGACATTTCCCTAAGACTCTTTATAGATATCCAATAATATTTGTGATGTGAAGTCTGGTAATACCGCCTCCAATGATCAAATAGTTATAAGAGATTTATTTCCTTAACAATATGTTTTCAAGGTGAACTGAATTCATCTTTTAGGAAACATGACAAATAGACAAATAGTGTGTTTAACATTTTGGAAGCACCTGATAAGTGGATAAATAATGTTTAATAAGTAAGGCTGGAATAATTAAAAAACCCAAAAGATTTCAGAGCATAGTTTGTAGTATTGTGGTCTACCCACAGGAAATGAATAATTGCATAGTTACAAAAAAAATTGTTGAACAAGGAGAGAAGACTCAGTAACATAAGATAATACCAAGAGAAGACTCAGTAACATAAGATAATACCAATGTCTCAAACTGTTGAGTATAAGTTCCATAACAACAGGATGGTTGCAGTTTAACGTGTTTCCTGGAACACACAAAACAAAACTGTCAAATAATCTTGAAAATGAAAATAATGATAACACTACAACCAAGACTATGTCCCAAACTTTAGGTTTCACTACATGAATCCTTTCCTTCCATCCAACTATATTAAAGGGCATTTCATCATTTAAATTATCAATGGCCATATCCTTTCAATTGCCTTATTCATGTTTGTTCAGGCCTATGTCTAAAACTTGTTTATCCATCTTCATATTACTCTTCTAAATTAGCACACTTATTATTATTGGTCTCTAACGCAATTACACAAACCATCTCAGTTCTATTCCATTTTACCCTGAATGGTTGTGAACGTACTTATTTCTTATTTTTATTTCTAGGGGCATTTCTGTCTATCCATCTGAGAGTTCTCATTTTTCATATGCGCTATTTTTGGACATGTTGGATTTTATTGCCCAAAGTTCCAACCATAAGGCATTACTGGTTTCACAGGCTTCTTACAGAATTCACCCTGCAACTTTCATGGATATCCTATGATCACATGACAATCTAGAAATAACATTTTAACAATCCTGGTTGGATTCTGTGAATCAGATCCTCCTTCATCTCACAGTCCCCATATGAATTACAGGATGAAAAATCATAACTAAAGCTACAAATATGCGTAGGACTTGTTGCCTTACCACAGCCTGAGAAGTTTAGTAGTTGACCGTCGTTGTTGAGATCCGTCATGTAATAAACCTGTTCAGATAGTAAAATTAACAGACGAGAAAGGTCCCAGATAAAAAAAGAAGCAGAACTTCAACTATATATGCCCATGCAAGATGCACAAATAACTCGAGTTTCTTCTTTTGTGAATATATAAAGGCAAGTGTCTTCTTTAGTGACCATTACTATATATACAATTACTTGCTTATTGCATGGACATCCACAAGAACAGGAATTGGGGCATTCTTTGAGTGCAAACATTGTCGTTATGTACATAAATGAGTTAAATATTTTCTTCAAAGTGATAATATTGAAACAAGCAAAGTCGTTATGTACCTAACATCGAGGTATTATTTATGCTGTGTATAAGTTGTCATGCAATTATTGATGATATATAAGTTTTAAACAAACTTGGGAAAGAAAAAAGAGTTGATCAGAAATAGAAATCATGTACACATGTTGAACACACAAAATTTAGAGAACACAAATCTATTAGATTGAAACCATGTAAGACAATACTGTCAAACTTAATCTATTGGGCCCTCTTCTGCTTCCATCTAAATTATGGCCGGTGGTGAATAATTTCAATTGTCTAACAACATAGTTGCCTTTTGACTACAGTTAATGAAACCTTATTGAATGCAGAATACTGACCAGAAAACATGAAACATAGAATATAAATTGTTTCATCAGTTTCAAATGTCAAAAATATGAAAACAGTGTAAAAATAAGCATCATGATAGCACTTGTTTTGTTGAAGTTATATGTAAAAATTTCAATGAATGAGAAACAAAACCATTACCTTGTTGTCAATACCACGAAAAGAGGTAGTATAAGGATGAGCATCATCAGCTTCATTTGTATGATTGTAAACAACATCCAGTATCACCTGCAATAATAGTATCATTAAAGCTTTAAATAAAAAAAACACGTATGGGATACAATGACTCCAAATGTTGGAGCAAGCCAGTAGATCAAGTCCAGCTACTACTACCCTTGAATCTGAGCTGTTAATATTTAATTCAGACTATTGAGTCCTCCGAAGAGATTACAGTAATTATTTCGAATTTTGCAGAGCAGTTATAAACAAAGAGCATGATCCAAATCAGGCTATTCTATGTCCATGTTGAATCTATTCCAGGTAACTGAATATAACCTGAAGCATTAGTTATGCTGAACCTGCATATGTTTCGGCATCACATGGGCTAACTACCAAAGGAGAAGGGATTACAAGAGATAAAAAGAAAAAGAATGGTTGAAGTTTCTTTTACATGAGATTCAAAGATTTTAACGAGCAAACAATTTAAGTAGTACAAATTTTTGATACAAGGCAAGAAGGACGAGAAACAGAATCCTCAAAGGAGTATTAAGTATGAGGCCAACATAACTTTTACACTGGACAAGTTTCAGAAAATGGCGGAGGAAGAGACACTATAAGCCAGAGAAAAAAACACACACCCTTATTATAAGTACCTCCAGAACGAGATGTGATGTCAAAATACCTCGATTCTAGAATTATGTAAAGCCCTGACCATTTGCTTAAACTCTTGAGAAGCAGCCAAAGCTCCACCACCAGCACTGGCATAGCGGCTCATTGGGGCAAAAAAATTGATAGTAGAGTAGCCCCATGTATTAATCTAGAAGATAAAACAGACGTCAAATAGCAGAAAGAACAAATAATCAACCCGGTCTTCTCTACAGTAGTAAGCAAAAGAACATGGTAAAGAGAGAGGCTTCATACCCTACTGTACACAAAAGGCAGAAAACAACATCAGGCTATCATGGGTGTTTA